TAAGTTATGTTTTGCAATTTTTAACTTTAGACAGCGCATTTGTACGTCTGCGCGACATAATCAATATTTCCCTATCCAGTTCCCTATGTACACCGCGCGGTATTTCGAAATTCTTCTACGGTTTCAGTACTTTCTCACGGGATACTTTTTTCAACTGTGGTGGGTGTGTGCCCCCAGTGCAGTGCTTTGTGCATATCGGATGGCCCCCTCCTGGGACACGGCGAGGCTGTGTCCGTGCCCCCACCGCCGTGCAGTCTACACTTTCGCTCAGTCTGCTCGACGATCCTCCTCTGCTCACAGCATCACAGGTGAAAGAGACAAAGAGGAACGGAAAGTATGCAGTACAGTACATAGAAAGGTATATAATCCTGCACGACCGCAACACCATGCTGTCCTTCGCGGTGAGGCTGAGCGGACGGGGAAGTAGGGTGGCAGAGTTCCACAAAGGGAAAGGGCGATGAAGCACACACACTCACATGATCACTACCTGACGATCTGCGCTGTGTCCGCCGCGCTCGGGGCAGGAAACTCAAACTTCATGGCGAACAGCGAGCTACAGAGGCCCGGGGCAGCGGGAAAGTTTGGTAAAGTGTCCGCGCGCGGAAAGCGAGCCCGGTGTGTTAAATCGTACACTGTCCGTACAGTGCGCATTGTAAATCTCTGTCGTATGGCGAGCGTCGGGCCCGGACCATACCGCCCGTTTGGAGCCCCCCATTTACTTGATCGATGAACACGACGTGAGTGCATCCGTGTGTGTTTGTGTGAGCGCGTGCGTGGGTGTTTTTTCTGTACGTTCGGAACGCCATCATAGCCAGCCCTCGGGCGGCGCTCCGCGGACTTGTGACCTTGTCACAGGATAACTTGCCTTTTCACGGCCCCGCGCTGTTTTCGCGCTCGAATACCTCGCAAATAAAAGTGACAAAAGTCCCTAACGGGAACATAGGGGCACCCCGCTTACACTGTAAAACGCTTACGAAACAAAAAGTCTTTGCAACGCTGTGCCTTGCACAATTCTCAGCCTTTGTGTTAGAAAGAGTTTCTTTCGTATTGGAAAGCATTTATTTTGAAAAGCTGGTAAATATTCTTTCAAAGGAATTGGGTTGCATTGCAAACTGTAAGTGTACGGAGAATTAGGCTATCGAATTGATCGGACTCATTCTCCTAAAGATTTTTTGCAGTGGACCCCACCTCCATCCTTTCGCTTCGCGCCATAAGACCCCTATCCCCATTAGAAGTCCCCCTCCTCTTCCCCCTGCAACCCGCACCCACAGCAGTCACCCCCATCACGAGGGAGGCGTCGGCTGTGACACTTATTCGCGGCGGCCGTGGCGGCGGCGGCCGTGGAGGTGGTGGCAGCGCAGCGCGCCGGTGTCGACCGGTGGGAGGTAATTTCCGTTCCTAAAAGTGACTTCGATGCGACAAGCTCGCCTGCCTTCCTGCCTTCCGGTGGTGGTGGGTGGGTGGGTGGTGGGCACAATAGCCCTTGCTTGCGCTCGACTCGACAGCCGTTCTCACTTTTCCATCACTGTGAAGTAGAATATAAAGTTGGTGCAACACTATGCCCTGAACCACACAACTAATGCATGCCTATTTGCCAGAGCGTAAATGGCAATCGGAGCTTCATATGCTGGGTACAATGTGTACCAAAGGGCTGTTTGTTTACAAGTCATTACACTACAAACACGTGTCCTACCGCCGGCCCGCCTGCTGCGGCCGCGGCCGTGACAGTGACACACGTGCATGACAACAACCCTCGTCTTATGCACGGACACACGGCCGTAACGATAACAACGAGAGTAGTAACCCCCCCCCCCCCCGGTGTTTGGCCGGAAATGCGGCGCCAGGACGGAGGAAACGCGTTCACTCCGTGCTGCACGTGCACGTAATCTCAGTCAGAGATGTCGGCAGGCGCCGCGCGACAACATTTCTGCATTACTCGTTAAAATAATTCGTATATATTTCTTTTTTTAGAAAGATGATACCCGCTGGTGCCTCGGGTTACTCAGTCACGTGGTTTCCTCCCGCCCCCTCCTCCTTTTTCCCGCCAGGGGGGTGTGCTCGTGGAACGGATAGCCCCCCCCCCCCCCATCCCCTCCCTTCTCCTTCAGGGTTGAGTGACCTGCTTACCCGGAGCCACTCTTTTCTCTGAGCTACTCCCGGATTAATTATTGTGTCCGACACGGAGAACCCACCGGCTGGCTCCGGTGCGGGGAGAATTAAGTACGGCTCCCTAATCAGGGAGGGAGCAAACAATTTATTCATTAAAGATATTCCTGGAGGACCGCGATGGTAAATACCACTTGTAGTACTCTGCCTTGCATTGTTTTCCTAAGACATTTTCAAGCGTATCCGGGAGGACTGATGGTAAATTACGTACTGCTATTTGCCTGCTTATTGCACTGTTTTAAACAATGGTTTCACACTCCATTTTCAGCGAGCACGGAGTAAAAGTACACAAAAGTAATGCTTTTACTCCGCGCAGCGACGGAGGCGGGGAGGCTTTACCGGGGTGGGTGATGATGGATCAGCCCGGGATCAGTCGTGAGGACAGTGAAGCTCTACTTGTTCTGCTCCCGGCGAGCCCGGTGGGTCCCATCCTAGCCCCTCCCCCTCCCCCCCTCCTCGCCGCCGGCTGCTGGATCTAGATCGTGATCCTGGGGAACTGCCCCTTTACTTACTGATTCGTCTCGGGGACGCGATGGGGGCCGGCCTCTTGGGCGGCGTCCTGGGCGGCGTCCTGGTCTTGGCCGGCGGCGACGCCTTGGGGCCCTTGGCCGACGGCGACCTGGCGGGCGGGCCGTAGGGGGCCATCGCCGCCATGCCTGGGTGCTGCGTCCAGCCTGGGTAGGGTATCCCGGTCGGTATCCCCGAGCAGGTGGTCGTCGCGGAGGTGCTTGGCACGGCGGCCGGGTGGAGGCCCAGCACGGCGCTCTGGTGGTGTTGGTGGTGGTGGTGCAGGCCGGGGTGGCCGCCGAAGGGCAGGCCGGGCACGACGCCGGGGACGGGGTTGGCGACGATGACGGACCGCGGCGGGTTGTAGCACATCCAGGGGAACAGCACGGTCGACATATCCGTCATGCCCGTCCACTGCTGCGCGGGCTGAGAGAGGAAGGCGGCGACGCCTACATGGCACGCCCGGGTCTAACGCTCCCGCCTCACACTGCACTGCACTAGCACTCGCACTGCACTTGCACTGGCACTGAACTTGCACGGGGCACTGTGACACTCGCGTTTCGTCCTGGCTCTCGCACTGGTTGGCGGCTCCCCGAACGGCGCGGACGGCACTGCACACACGTCCTGCTCCCTCGCCGGTCGGCCGTCGACTGACTGCCGGGCCGGGGCCGCGGGGCCGGGGCCGAGGACGCTGACTGGCTGCTGGCCCGGCCGCCCTTCCCCCTCCCGCCCCC